TCCACTCACCTCAGCCTCCCAAAGGCGCGGGATGACAGGCTGAGCCACCGAGCCCTGCTCACACTTGCTTTTTAATCCAACCATCAGGAATTTGGAGATGTTAAAGGAAGACATTAAGAAACAGTATATATTTATGTAAACATTGGACTTGGCTCTTTGGAATTTGGGTACTATAGAAGCAAATTTCTGTGTCTAGAAATAAGGTTGGAATGGAAGAAGTTTTACTGAGTTTAACGGTATTCAGAAAGAGTGGAGTTTTATTTGTTGAAGCATTATTTCCTCTAAGCCTTTAGTTTGCCCTAAGTTATATCTCACCACTGTACCACACATCTGTAAGATATGGGATGTGGATTAAGTGCTGTGAATATTTGTGTTCATACATATTCTTGCAGCCCAGATGCTGACCCTATGTCTATTTTTAAGGTTACTTTACTAGTCTTTCTCTTTGGAGTTCTCAGCTAGTTGAGAAAAACATACAGAAGTTACGTCTGACTTAAAATAAAATCAAGAGTCCCTGCTGGACACCATCCTGTAGTGTTCACCTCCTGGAGGAGAAGATGCTTTGTGAACCCTGCAGGCAAAATGAGGATCCCTGGGAGGGAGGGAGAGGGTGGTTTGCTTAGGGCCTTTCCCCAGTCTGAGAGGGCACACTTTACAGCATGGTGCTTGCTGGAAGTTCCTATTTGATGGGCCAGGAGGAATGCAGGGATAGGATCCTACCAAGTGATTGTTTATAGCCTGTGTGAGTCACAGGTGCACAGGAGAGAAAATATGGGTACATCTTACATAAAGAACTCTGGATAGAATACATAAAACCTTTATATAACAGATGAAATTAGAGAGTCAATTTAATATATATTAAGCACTTACTAGAGTCATTGTGCTGGATTGTGGGTCTGCAAAGGTGAATAATATAAGCATGATTTCATTCATGACGTTAGGAGGCTGATCTTTGCTTATCTTTGTAGTCTATTTGGGTTTTTGCTTCCAGATGTTGACAAAAGATGCCAAACTCTGTAAAGTATTTAACATGATTTATTCAGAGCCAAATGTGAGTGATCTAGGTCCATGACACTGTTGTTTCAAGAGGTTCTGAGAATGTGTGCCTCAGTCATTGAATTGCAGCTTGGTTGTACACATTTCTATTTGCCTAAACAATTTATTAAATGAAACATAAGCATAAAGAAACCCCAAAAGCTCACAGACATTCTTGAAGTCTGTGTAGTTGAAACTCCCAGCAGTTTCACAAGGATAAATAGTTAATTGTAATCTATCTTGGGCAGGGCTCAAAACTTAGAAACAAATTCAGTTCCAAATAACCTGGCTGTCAGCATTTGAAAATAAGAACAATTTGCTTGAATACCAGAGAAAACCTTTGTCCCCATCCCATGTAGAAATCCTTTCCTTTTCTTTCATAGTAGAACAGCAAGAACAAGACATGAAAGTGAAAAAGAGGGCCTTCTGGTCGCTACTTGGAATGGAACTTGGCTTCTACCTGCTCTGTGCCCTCCATATATTCTTCATGGTGCAGGAGTTGGAGCCCTTCTTACCTCCACTAGCCTTGGGAGGACTGGTAGCCTGGCTGGAGGGAGCAGATACGTGATAGGGGAGAGATTGTGTAGATTCCAAAGAGGAAGAAGAGCAAAGGTGGAAGCAGAGACGGAGAGAAGAGTGAGAGACTGTAGCTCTACTCACAAATCCACAGTGACAGCAATTGCTGACCTTCTCATGCCCTGTGCTTGGGTGCCAGAGATTATGCCAACTGGGGTGCTATATGTTGCCCTGTGGGTTCTTTGGCTCCGCCACAGAAAATAATTTCAGAGCGAGTTCCAAGTATAGTTTAAGACAGAATTTATTAGAAAGAAAGAGACATGCTCGAGGAAGGTGTGGGTATCGTGTTCTCTTTGACAAGAAGAGTTATATAATTTTACAACAATGATTAAGCAGACCAAGAGCTAAGAGGGTTGGGCTGCTGGTGTCTGGTCACAAGTTTTGATTACTGTCTCTCAAACTACTAAGGTCACAACAATAATGAAAGTTACTGCCTAACTAGATTTGGGCTTTCTTTTCTTTCTTTCTTTCTTTTTTTTTTTTAGAACATCATATCTGTGTTTTGGATAATTCCCTATTGTTCCTGTGATGTACTGGACTAGTAGATTCACACTCCAGGTGGTCAGGTTTGGTGTGCCTGGTCAGTCAGGTGAAGGTTGTGTACTGATAAGAAAGATGACGAGACTCTTACCCTATTTTAATTTAGACCTGCCTGCAAGAAACTTATCTATGTGTAACCTTCACTAGCAGAGGGAGCTATTGAGGATTTTGAAGCCAAGGAGTGACTGGATGAGCACCACCTCTTGTGTGGTGGCCTGGATGACCCCTTTGGGACAGGGTTCCTGCATTTTTCACTGAGTGGGAGGCATAACAGGATTGCAGGGCATGGACTTTGGGGTTCCGCTCCTAGTTTAAATCCCCTCTCTGCTGATAACCACCCAGGTGACCTAGGCAACCTGGACTGAGTAACATAACCTTTCTGAATCTCAGTTTCCACATCAGCCAAAAAGAGTGGTCGTTCTTGTTTTTGTTTTATTTTTGAGTTGGAGACTCACTCTGTAGCCCAGGCTGTAGTAGAGTGTCCACTCCCGGCCACTGCAGCCTCGACCTGCTGGGCTCCGGCGATCCTTCCACCTCAGCCTTCCAAGTAGCCGGAACTACAGGTGCACGCTACCATGCCTGGCTAATTTTTGATTTATTGTAGAGATGAGGTCTCGCCAAGTTGCCCTGGCGGGTCTCGAACCTGCGGGCTCAGGCAATCCACTCATCTCAACCTCCCAAAGGCACGGGATTACAGGCTGAGCCACCGAACCCGGCTAAGATGGATTTTTTTGAAGTTGTGGGCCATTCTGGTCATTCATAGAGAAAATCAAGAGAGCTAACAGATAGTGGTTTTTCAGATTTTAATGAGGCATTTTCATTGTTCTTCAGATTTTTTTGCAAGTTCCTGTTAGCCTGCTTTATCCTTTGACTGGGGGAATTTCCCTCCCTCCCTACCTCCCACCCTCCTACATTCTTTGAAAAGACTGGCTAGAGGACTTTTTCTTCTGCTTTTGGAGGAACTTTGGACTGTTTATATGCAGGCCAAGCCATTTTCCCTTGGCAAGTGGTTCTCAGGATAGAATCCTATGCTAACAGGGAATGTGAGCAGAAGGAGCACAGGACCCATTTATGTGACATGTGGAGAAGCCACAGCCCCTTGGGTGAGTGATTGTGGTCTACATCCTGCAGGCGATGGCTCTGGTTTGGAGCTCCAGGACATGGGGGAGCACATGTGTTAGGTGCTTATGTGTGTGTGAGAGGCTAGTGACCCAGCCCAGTCCAGCTCAGCTATTTCTTCTGACAGAGTCTGCACTAAACTTCCTTCCTGGCTTTGGTGCCCATTGAAGGGGAGCAAAAAATGGCTTCCTTCCATGCTTCTAGGTTATTTGGCTGGGCTACAAATTAAATGAATGTAAGACAGATTAACAGGAGAAAAACCATACTTAGTTACATATGTACACATGGAAATACCACAAAATATGAGACTTGAGGATGTATCAGATGATTGAAGCTTATCCTGAGCTGCAGAAAAGATTAAGGACTTGGAGCTTCTACAGGGTGGTGGCCACACATTATGGGAGGTGAGGGGAAGCATTATTGTATGGTAAATAAAGATTGTGTTAGGGTCACACTCCCAACGGGGCCTCCAGAATGTTAGGTCAGACCCGTTGGGGGTGTGGGTGTCTAGTGTGCCATCCAATGTCACATGAAAGATGCAAAGAATTGCACAGAATTTAGATTAGAAAATATTTTTTAGTTTATTTAAAAAATAAGTTGGAGAGAGAGAAAGGGAATTCATCTTCCCCAGGGAGGGGAGGGGGCCAACGCTTAAGAAAACGGCCTGGCCATAGCTCAAATTGCACACGGCCACACCATAGCTTAGCAAGGCAATGACAAATGGCTGCGTCCTTTTAATCCTTCCCTTTGATGGGGGAGGGTTGTTAAGGTGATTGGGTGGTAGTCTGCTCCATGTGATCACGAAAGGGCAGATAAGTGCAGGTACTGATGTCGGTGATGGACAACAGACAAAATGGGTGGGTTAGTCACATGATTGTTTCCATGGTGGTGGTGTCAGGTAAATCACAAAGGGCTGATTAGATTAGCTTGGGGATTTGAGCCTGGGGGCGTTTTCCTGCAAGAGACCAGTCAGAAGTTTTCAATTCCCAAGTTCCTTGACTAAAAGGTGGTCTTATTATCATTTTCTTTGGCTTCGGCCAACCAAGGGGTGATCTTTGATCTTCCATCTTTGACAAGGAACCTGAATGTTTTCTAGAGATTATTATGCTAAACCATGAACTGATAGGTTGGGCTGTCTTTGTCTTGCATGTGATGGAGATTTGCCCCTTGGCCTGCAGTAAAATGTAATTTTAAAATGTCTGATTTGGTGCCTGGCTCAAGCCTGTAATCCCAGCACTTTGGGAGGCAGAGGCGAGAGGATTGCCTGAGCTCAGGGGTTTGAGACCAGCCTGAGCAACATGATGAGACCTTGGTGTCTACAATAATAAAAAAAAAAATTAGCTGGGCATTGGTGGCACAAGCCTGTGGTTCCAGTTACTTGAAAGGCTGAGGTGGAAGGATTGCCTGAGCCCAGCAGGTTGAGGCTGCAGTGGCCGTGAGCGAGCTACTGTACTCCAGTCTGGGCGACAGAGTGAGACTCTGACTCAATAAAATACAATAAAATAAAATGAACACCTCCTAAAACCTACCTATTGGAAATCTATATCTAATAGATATCTATATCTAACCTGTGCTAAATTTAAAGCATGTCAGGGGTAAAGTCTAGCAAAAATGGTTATGCTGAGGCAAAATGACTAGGGGTAAAGTCTAGCAAAAATAGCTATGCTGAGGCAAAAAGACTACGCTAAACTAAGTTTGTTCTAGGTTTCTATAGGTACCTCCTTTCAGGTTGTATTGTTAAGCAGGTAAAAAGTCTGTCAGATAATGAAAGTTGTCTGGAGCAACCGTCTTCCTGATACAGATACTTTTACTAACCCTTTGCTCTCAGGGGACATCATAAATCTAGAAAACTACTTGGATGTCCCCTGAGAGGGGGACATAAAGAGGTTGCTGGTAATTATACAGGACAAACTTACACATTATTTTTAAAAAATGTATGTTTCCTTGAAGTTTTCCATTCAAAACCAATGAAAAGCCTATGTCCCATTTGAAATTTGTCAAACTTCTGATTGATCAGTTGAGAAGTAGTTTTTGGGAATCATGAGTGTTTCTTTCCACATTGTCTTCGAACAACAGACTGTACAATAAATTACATATTAATTAAATTACATATTAATGTGAAGGAGGAAAATGATACTGTATTGTCTGCATGCATATGTGTGGTGGGCCAGGTAAACTGGAGTTGTGGGCTTGAAAGTATTCACCAAGACAGTTATGAATTAAGAAAGAGATTTATTGAAGGGAAGATATGTTGTGAAGGGCACAATAGGCAGGAGAGCAAAGAGGAGTTTGCTGTCTGTGAAGAGGCAGGGTCTACATAGAAGCATTGATACTACTGTATGGGGAATCAGTGCAGGAGTTGCCTGGGAATTGCCTGTGGTGTGTGGAGAAGATTTGCAAGTTGACTGCTTGCTTTGCTGGAGATTTGTAAAGTCGCTGACCTACGATAGGGTTTTGTCTCTTTAATAGCAATAGTTCAATGCTTATTTTGTTTGTCATGGTATTAACTACCTTTCTCATTGCTACAGAACTAACAGCAAATGTTTTATAGCTGGCTATCCAGCCTTCACAATTCTTTTTTTTTTTTTTTGAGTTGGAGTCTCACTCTGTTGCCCAGACTGGAGTGCAGTGGCTGCTCTCACCACAGCCACTGCACTCGGCCACCACAGCCTCGACCTGCTGGGCTCCGGCGATCCTTCCGCCTCAGCCTTCCAAGTAGCCGGAATTACAGGCATGCGCTACCACGCCCGGCTGATTCTTTGATTTATTGTAGAGATGAGGTCTCACTGCCCAGATGGGTCTTGAACCCGTGCGCTCATGCAATCCACTCACCTCAGCCTCCCAAAGGCGCGGGATTACAGGAATGTGCCCAGTTTACCCAGTTGATGCCTAAGCAGGACTCATGTTCTTCCACAAGAAGCACTGTACAATTTACAGAGTTGGCAATTTTGTGTGAAATAGCATTTTAACCCAAACTGATTTAGTATTTGGTAGTCATTATTTATGTAGTTTAGTTGGAATTAAATGGTACTTTAAAGTTGCTTTATGATAATTAGAACTGCCTTTTCTGGAGGGGGGTTGTAATGTGCTAGGTATTTACATGCAGTCTCATTTACTACGCACAATGACCCTGGCAAGGACTCTCAGTAGCTCACCTAAGTCTGTGAGCTGGGGTTTGGAACCTAGGGCAGTATGACTTCAAAATGCATTGTTTCTCTAGGTGGCTTTCTATGCTTTGATATGTGTGTGTGTGTGTGTGTGTGTGTGTGTGTGTGTGTGTGTTTATCAGAGAGTGTGAACTTCGATTTGTGTGCTTGTTTACTGATGGTGTTGAGGTCTGTGAATTGTAGTTTTCTTGGAAAATTGAATATTAACCCTCTGCTATAGTGAAAGCAACAGTGGAGGTGCTTTCAGTACAATTGGGGAGAAGACTCAAGTGGATACTGGGACATCACCCTGTGTCTGAGCTCTCTGAAACCCTGTTTTCTCTGCCATGCAGCGGCCCTCCAGGCACTGAAGCGCAAGAAGAGGTATGAGAAGCAGCTGGCGCAGATTGATGGCACATTATCAACCATTGAGTTCCAGCGAGAGGCCCTGGAGAACGCCAACACCAACACCGAGGTGCTCAAGAACATGGGCTATGCTGCCAAGGCCATGAAGGCGGCTCATGACAACATGTACGTGTCCACTCACACCCACATGGCAGGGCAGTGCTGGCCTTGGGATGCCTTGTACTCAGGCTGTGACCTTGGGGTGATGGATCCCCTGACTTTCCTATTCAAGCACCTGAGTTCGTTTTAATTTGCATTCTTTTTGAAACTTTTGTAAAGTGGATTATGTGTCTTACTTCCTTTGGAAGCAGATCTCACGGAATGAAAAAATATTTTCTGGGTAATTCAGGGTTATTGTGACAAGCATAGTTTCAAGCTGGAAAGGTCTTTAGAAGCTCATCCAGGCTTCCGATTATTGAGATGGGGAAACTGTGTTCCAGAGAAGAAAGCTGACTTGCCCTGGGTTATGTGGGAGCTTACATAGAACTGGGATTAGAATTTTCTGATTCTGTCAGGGGCCCTGAAATATGCGGTACATTTGAGGGCTTTGGATCTCTCTTCCTATGTCTGCTTTTGATAGAATTTTCTGCCTCCTTTGCTTGGGCTGTGACTGTCATACTGCCCGTGTTCTTGCCCTCAGCAGTCCTTCTTTCTCTCTATGGCTACTTTTCATGTGCAATGGCCTAAGAAACTAGGTAACTGAGCTTGGTACAATTATAACTAAAGACCAGGGTAGCTAAGTTCCAAATGAGAGCTCTCCCACGAACAAAAATCTGTGTTTGTTTTAGTGCTTGGATTTGGCAGCATATTTTTTGGGGTACTTGAAGCCTTTCTGCTTCCTGTTGGGCACTCAGCTCTAGACCAGGGGTTGGCAAAATGCAGTCTGTGGGCCTGCCATTTATTTTTGTAAATAAAGTTTTATTGGGATACTGTCATGCCCATTAATTTACATAATGTCTGTGGCTGCTTTTGTGTTACACAGCAGGGTTGAGTATTTGCAACAGAGATTGTATGGCCATACATGCTAAAGTATTTACTATCTGGCCCTTTACAGTAAGAGCCAGATCCTGCTTTACAGAAAGAGCTGATCCTGCTCTAGAAATGTGAGATTGCAGGAAACATTGCCTTCAAATAAGTGAGGCGTTGTCTGAGGGTGGACGTTCACTTGAGTGAGCTTCATTTCTATACTTTCCCAGAAACCTAGCACAGAGCACATTTCTAAATACTGTTCAAGTATTGAAGTATATGTGTATATATTTTATTGAGTAATTGAATATTTGTATGATTGACAGTGTATAGAAAAAAATTATGCATATTGCCTTTCCTTTGGGGCTAGTAGAAGATCCATAAGTGGATTTGAGTAAGTGGGAAGGGCTTGTCAGGTGGTGTGGCTATACTTTGTGATTTTACTTCCCCTTGTAGAGTTGCCCTTGGGCTTGAAAAAGAGCTGTTGGCCCAGGAGTTAAAGTTCTGTAGTCTCGTCTGACATGTTTACTAATTTGCATGTAGGGTCTTCAGTGTATCTTCTAACTTTGCTAAGTCTTATTTCCTTAGGATATCTGACTAGGTAATGTCTTAAGGACTTTTCTATTCCCTTGGTTCTATGATTGTTTTAAAGGGAAAGAGGCAGGCAATAATGACAAGTAATGTCTCTCATGGAGTAATTGTAACTGGCTGGGAAATTGATGGTATGAAGTGAGGTTTCCGTTCCTGCCTTACCTGTCCTCTTTAAACAAACCAATCAATTGAAATGACTCTGTCCATTTTATTTAAAGGGACATTGATAAAGTTGATGAGTTGATGCAGGACATTGCTGACCAGCAAGAACTTGCAGAAGAGATTTCAACAGCTATTTCAAAACCTGTAGGGTTTGGAGAAGAGTTTGACGAGGTAAGCGGTTTTGTATAGGTCCCATAACTTTCATACGTGACACCCCAGACTGCCCCTTCATGTATTTCTTGAAGGCGCTCAAGCAGGGAGTATTTGGTTTGGGGGTTACCACTTCTTACCTCTCCAGAAACTTAGACATAGACAGGGCATAGTGAGTAATAACCCTACTTGCATTCTGGATTTTGAGGGATACTTTTTCTGTTTGGGAAAGGAGCTTAGGTAGAATAAAGGAATTTTCATCAGGACCCTTCTTCAGGCTTCTGGTCACTAACTGATTTCAGCAAGTTGTTAGGCTGTACTTTTCCATGGTGTCCCTGGACTCAGAGCTGGGTGACCGAGGTGACCATGCCCTGGAGAAGTTTACAGGATTTGGCCTCAGCCAGCTCCAGTATGAGGTAAAGGTGAAGCCAAGGAGGGAGCATTTACATCTCTGACCCCGAGGATCTGTCTGGATCTTGACCACCACCGATTTCTGCTGTAGCAGTATGGGACCTTGAGTCTCTTAAATTTTAAAAATATGGTTCCAGCCCCTGTTGAAGGTACTTCATTGTATGCTAGATTTGAGTCTTCTGAAGGTCAGCACTCTGCTAAACCTAATTCTTGTGCTTTCTGAACCCCACTGTATAACTGAGAAAACAGCCTGCAGCTCAGCCTTAGCTCTCAGCACCAGGACTTTCATACTGGAATTTGGTGTACTAAGCAAGTTCATTTAATTCCACAAACATTCCTAAACATTCACTTGTGCCCAGCTCTGAGACACAGAAATAGGAATGAAAAGATAAGATCTCCTCTCACAGAGGATACCAGACGTATACATCCATGATGCTCAACAGTATGTTATGTTATATTCCCCAGTAGAAGCTTATTTAGGATGTTTGAGACAGAGAGTGTGGAACCTGGAGTTCCTTTTTCCTCAGGCCTCCTCAGAAGGGTATATGTGTCCACTGGGGATCAGGTAAGAGTCATGGCTGCCGGGGCTGGGATTCCCAGGAAGAGCTCTCACTTTTGTGTTTCCTTTTACCAGGATGAGCTCATGGCAGAATTAGAAGAACTAGAACAGGAGGAACTAGACAAGAATTTGCTGGAAATCAGTGGACCTGAAACAGTTCCTCTACCAAATGTTCCCTCGATAGCCCTACCATCAAAACCTGGTGAGTTCTTCTAATGTAGAGTCATAATATACCCATGATACCACATGACGATGATAGTGATGTGTGGTCTGTTGATTTTGGTTTGTGTCTTGAGCTTCCCAGGGTTGAAAACTAGGTAGGATCCATTGTGATGGCCACAGAGACAATGTCATCTGCCCTTTCCTAGTTTCTCTCTGGAAGAGGGCTTATTAATCTAAGCACTATTGACATGGCCACATAATTCTTTGGGTATGGGAGTGGGAGGCAGGGTTGTCCTGTGTACTGTGGATATTTAGAACTGCCTTTGGCCTCTACCGACTAGGTGCTGATAGCAACTTCCTGAGTTGTGACAACCAGAAATGTCCTAGACATGATCAGATGTCCCCTTGGCAGGGGTTGGCGGGATCACCCACAGTTGAGAGCTTCTTTTCTAGTATGATTTTTCCTATGTTACCAAACAAGAGAAAGTTCCAGACACTGAGAAAGTGAGAACACTGTGAGAACAGCTCTTACTTCCTGTCTTGTAACCTGTGCTGTGCATACCTGTAAAAACCCAGGCCTGACAGGCAGGAAACAGCTTGAGTGTTTCAGGGACCTGGTTCTATATGACCTTCATTTCCTTCCTACTCTTTCTTTTCTTCCTCCCCTCCCACAATATTTCACCCCCAGGTAGAAGTATTCCACCTAGAACTTGTAGAACAAGCGAGACAGTTTGATATGGAGAGGGAGCCCAGGAAACAGTGTGTGACCAGGTCGTGGTCAACTCCCTGTCTTGTGTATAAAGGAGAAATGGTCCCTTCAAGTAGGTTCAGCTGCCTGGAGTGGTGTGTGGGCAGAAGCTGTCTAGCACGCCTCCTGTAGGTGTGTAGAAGTGGCTCAAGCAGCTTAAGGTGGGGGTGGCAAGGCTTCCTGCTCTCCCCCCACCTTGGATGCTCTGGGTCCAAGGCCTTGTGGGAATCTTGGTGGACTCTCAGTGTAGATTCCATCTTGTTTTATCTGGCCCTGCAGGGGGGTGGAGGGGAGATGCTGTGAGAAGTGCACTTGGCTTTCTGGAGTTTTTTGTTGTAGATTTTAGGCACCAAGAAGCAATCTGCTGACAGCTTGGAGAGGAAGTTTGCTGCAGGAGCAGGGCTGTTTACCAGACACCATGTAGCACAGCCCTAGCTCCCAGCCAAAATGTGTTGAAAGCACTACAACCAGCCCTCCTAAAGAGCCTTTTCTCTTTTCACACAGCCAAGAAGAAGGAAGAGGAAGATGATGACATGAAGGAATTGGAGAACTGGGCTGGATCCATGTAATGGGTTCAGCGCGGGCTGGGCCCAGACAGACTCTGGTGGCCTGCATGGCGGGCAGGCACATGTGTGTGTGGGGGCAGGCACGACATGGTGCAGGCCAGTTCCATCGCTCTTGAGTCTCACTCCAAAGCAGTAGGGCCGCGTTGCTGCTCACACTCTGCATAGCATGGTCTGCACCTGGTGAGACAGGTGGGGGGAGGGGGGTGGGGTAGGGGGTGCCTGCTGTTTATAGTGTTGATTTTCTGTAAAATAAACTGTATTTGCAAATCCAGCATTGAGCTTCTGGACTACGCTAACTCCACTGTTGAATCTGCAATGGAAAGGGTTGACTGTTTGTAGTTGACATGACCTGAAGATGTAGCCTCTGTCCTTTTAAGTCAGTTGACTGTCGCATATCTCTTTGTATACATGTATGGTACTGGCAGAAAAGTTGTTTTTAAAGCCATAGGCTTTTCCTTGTCTGTAGCTGTAATAATGCATCTGATTTTGATTTCCCCAAGAGCTGTATTTCTGTTTATCACCTATGTACTGGCCCTGTGTTTTCCACTCTAGCCCACTCCTCACTCCTACTGCCCTGGTCTTTTGGAGTTTGTGACACTGATTTGAAATGGATGGTGTTCTCTTGAGAGCAAGTGAGATTGTTAGAATCATGTTCCAGCTATACAGTTTTCTAACATAGTTCTAAGGTTCTTGTTGCTGTTTGTGATAACTGATAGATAATTCATTGGAAACATGTGCATACATTTATATTCAGATGAAATTATGGTTTGCACTGTCTATTAAATATCTCAATTAATTTTCATACTTTGCTGTTGTGTTCAATCTATCATTTGCCTCAGGAGCAGACTCTTTCCAGGCCAGCATGGAGACCATAGAGTCTGGAAACATATGGAAGACTTGTCCATGATATAGGTCAACAATTTGAACCAAAGAGCAGAGTCTTTCCTACTAGAAATCTCTTCAGGTTCTAGAGTAGCTCTCACCTTGGACCCTTTGAGCACAGTTCAGAGTGAGGTGGCTCTTGTGTAGCTCCAGGGTCTTTCCTGCTTTTTCTCTACTAGCATCCATGGGCAGTGCCAGCAGGAGCCTCTACCTATTGGAAACCATGGTGCTCCCATCAGACAAGGACCATTTGGTACATTGAAGATAATAGCCTTTCACATGGGGAGGAAGTGTATAGGGCAGTGACTAAGACTCTAGGACCCAGGGGTCACCGTCACAGGAATGCTGTGACTCATTATGTAGCTTTGGCTTAGTCCCTTTTGCTGTCTTGACCCTTTTCTTCAGTCTTGTGTCCTCTTGAGAATCTGATGAACACTCTGGACCCTCTTCATAAAAGTTGATCTGTATATGTTCATCCTTAATCCTGCATGAAAATCTGCAGAATTGAGAGGATGCCCCTTTCCCTCTAACTCTGCTTTACCACTCCCCAAACCTCTTAAGACTAAAACCAACCTTGAGATCACAATTAGTCATTGCTTACCAGGTGCCATGGAGCAAAGTTGCCTACCCTCCCTTGGTCTCATTTCCCCATCTGGAACACCTCAGATCATCCCAGAGGTCCTGTCTGTGTGAAGTGGCTCATGCTCTGTTTCTTACCCCTCATTGCTACTCTTCCCAGAGCTGCCATGTTTAGAATTAGGCCTTGATGGAAGTGGCTTAAATTCGTGACCCGTGTGGAGGTTAGGTCTCGCTATTCTCAGTTCTTTCGATCTCAAGAAGAATCTCGTGGCAATGCTTGCTGCCAGCTTCCACCTTCTCAGACTGTAGCTGATGTGGCCCCCAGGCATCACTTAGTGGAGAGACTCAGGCATCACTTAGTGGAGAGACTCAGGCATCACTTAGTGGAGAGACTCAGGCATCACTTAGTGTAGAGACTCAGGCATCACTTAGTGGAGAGACTCAGAACTTCTCACCCTTTTCTGTCCTAGGCTTGCTGCCTCTTAGTCATGAGCTGGCCCTTCATCACACACCCAGGGCCAAGAAGCAGGAGGATCAGCACCTGCTAGCTTTGTTCACAGAAGGCAAGTCTTTCCCAGGAGGTTCCACTCAAACTATTTCTTATGTCTCATGGCTATTACTGTCCATGGCCACGTCTTGCTGCAATGGAGTCTGGGAAAGTGGAAATTGAAAGAAGGGGTCCAATCAAGGCTCTCCCCTAGGGGGAGATGTGGAACCTTCCTTCCCTGAGAACATTACCATCTGCCTACTTGTTACCTGGGCTTCTGTGTCCACCATGGAGGCCTACACCAAAAACATTAGATGGATATGTAGTTATTGCTACCAGTTTCTTCTAAAAAGCAGATCCATTATCCTGGCTTCTTTCAAATCCCTCAGTCTACTCCATCCCCTCTTCTGTGGTGGGTAAACTAAAGGTATATCCACATGACCCAAGGAGCTTGTTGAAAAATCCCCAGAGCAGGATGGGGGCCCAAGCATCATACCCTGACATGCTCCTGGCATAATTCTGAGGCAGATGGACTGGGCCTGCATTGGCATACTCAGAGCCGACAGGATCAAATCCTTGCTTGCAGTGGCTTGCATGATCCCTCCATCACCTGGCCCCATTTTCATCTACCTCCATGTCTGCCAACTCCTGTTGCCCAGAGTTTTTCGTCTCTGGCCCCTTGGCCTCCCTCCCATACTCCGCTCCTCACCTCTCCACATGCTGTCTTGTCATCACTTCCTGCTCCCTTACCAGGCAGTGAGGTTGTTGCATGTCTTGGCCCCGGTCTGGTCGGCGCAGATCAGGTGCAAAGGTATTTGTGTAAATATCTGTGTGTGGTGCAAATTGAGAGGGAAATGCTGCTACCTGGGTTTGCCGGGTGGAGGCAGGATTTGAGTTTTCAGCTTGAAGAAGGAGTAGGTTTTCCACGTGTGCCCATGAGGGATGAGCTTTCTAGACCCAAGGAGCCTGTGAAGGAGAAGAGGGCAGTGAGGGGCCACAGGAGGAGTTGGCTGGGGGAGTGCTTGCTTGGGCGGATATGGGAGGTAGCACTGAGAGGTAAGCTGGAGCTGGACCAGGGTCTTGGGCCTGGGACAAAAGGATATGCAGGCAGGCAGGCAGGGAAGGGAGGGAGGGAGGAAAGAGGAAGGAGGGAGGAAAGAAGCAGAAAATAGGAAGGAAGGGAAAAAGAAAAGTAGGTGCCCAGGCAGTGATTTGGGGTCGGGGAGGGGTAGAGATGAAGAAAGGCAGCATTTCCTTTCCCGCAGTGATATGAAGGCAGCTTTTTTCTTTTTTTTTGAGTTGGAGTCTTACTCCGTCTCCCAGGCTGGAGTGCAGTGGCACACTCATGGCCACTCCAGCGTCGACCTGCTGGGCTCCGGAGATCCTTCTGCCTCAGCCTTCCAGGTAACTGGAACTACAGGCATGCGCTACCACGCCCAGCTAATTTTTTGTAGAGATGAAGTCTCATCATGCCACCCAGGCTGGTCTTGAACTCGCGGCTCAGGCAGTCCTCTCACCTTGGCCTCCCAAAGTGCTGGGATTACAGACTTGGGCCACTGTGCCCTGTCCTAAGACAGCTTTTAAGAGGTAGCAGTGCTGTGGAGTCTGACCCTGCTTCTTCAAGTGGAGACTGGACAGTAGGCAGGCATGTGGGCAGGCTACTTCAGCAGTGTGCGGTGTGGACACCAAGAGCACTATGCTCTGCGGTCTGGCACACGAGGTTCAGATCCTGCTTCTGCAGTACTTGGGATTGTGAGTCTGGAGAGGTGACCTCATGCCTCAGCTTTCTCATCTGTGAATGCCAAGTAATAACAGACCTGCCTGTCAGTTTCCTGGGGCTGCTGTAATAAATTACCACAAATGGGGTGGCTTAGCTGGGTGCGGTGGCTCATGCCTGTAATCTCAGCACTTTGGGAGGCGGAGGTGAGATGATTGCCTGAGTGGTTCAAGACCAGCCTGGGCAACTTGGCAAGACCTGATCTCTACAATAAGTAAAAAATTTAGCCAGGCCTGACGCCTGTAATCCCAGCATTTTGGGAGGCTGAGGTAAGAGGATTGCCTGAGCCCACAGGTTTGAGACTAGCCTGGGCAACTTGGCGAGACCTCGTCGCTACAGTAAATCAAGAAAAATTAGCCAGGCATAGTGGTGCGTGCCTATAGTTCCAGCTACTTGGAAGGCTGAGGCGGAAGGATCATCTGAGCCCAGAAGGTCGTGAATGCAGTGGCTGTGAGTGTGCCACTGCACTCCAACCTGGGTGACAGAGTGAGACTCCAACTAAAAAAACAAAAACAAAAATTAGCAGGGCATGGTTGGCATGCGCCTGTAGTTTCAGCTACTTGGGAGACTGAGGTGGAAGGATCACGTGAGCTCAGCAGGTCGAGGCTGCCGTGGCTGTGAGCATGCTAGTGCACTCCAACCTGGGCGACAGAGTGAGATGCCTACTCAAAGAAAACCCAAGCAAACAAACAAACGGGGTAGATTAAAATAATGGAACTATATTCTCTCATAATTAGAGGTCAGACATGCAAAATCTAGGTATCAGCAGGAACTCCAGGGGGACCCTTGGCTCCTCCAGCCCCTGGCAGCACCTGACATTCTTGGGTGTTCCTTGGCTTGGGGCTTCATTACTCTGTCTCTGCCTCTGTCTTCACATGGCTTTTTTTTTTTTGAGAAAGCAAGATTTATTGAGAGGACAGAAAAGCTCCCACCGTGGGAGGGGACCCCAGGGGGTTGCCCTTCTTGTGGCTTTTATCACATATGTCTTTTTCTGTCTCTTATAAGGACACTTGTCACTGGATTTAGGGTCCACCCTAATCCAATATGCCCTCATTGCGATCCTCACCTTAGTTACATCTGCAAAGACCCTATTTCCGAATAAGGCCACATTCTGAGGTTGCAGGTGGATGTGAATTTTGGGGTCAGTGCTCAACTCACTCTACTTCCTCTAGCTGTGAACTCATGGATGTGAGGCCCCAGCAGCGTGTGGAGAACTCAGTGAAGCAGAGATGGGAAGAACAGGTACTTTGAGCCCCATGTACCAGGTGTGAAGACAAGGCTCAGGGAAGCTTCAAGGGTCCTACTGTTAATAAATGCCAAAGTGAAGAAGCAAATGGATTTCGTATTCTGTGAAGGCCATTCGTTCAACAAACGTGTTTTGCCTGCTTCGAACCCAGCTCTCAGAAAGCTCATGGTTTGGTGGGAAGATCAGAAAGCCCATCGCGTCTACCTCTTCATCATCATTTCCACTACAGCTGTGGGTACTCAGTGTAGTGAAACCCATGGGGAGTGGGCTGCTGCCCCGAGAGGATTTGTGGGAGGAAGCACTGTCTCAGCCAGGGTTGAAGGGTGATGACGGCTCAGCCAGGGAAAAGATGTGAAAATAGGAAGACAGTGCTCAACTTTGCACGTACAAAGGCCCAAAGCCACCTAGGCTCGCTTATGAGCCCAAGTTAAACCAGGACACACGTTCAGTAGACCTTCAGTAAATATTTATGAAGTGAATTACGAATGAGGAAATTGTGGCGATGAGGTGCTTCCAACTCTCACAGCAAACACTAGCAGAGCTAAGACTTGAACTTGGCTCCCTGGTGTCCTTGTCCAAGTCTTCCTGTCTGCCCTGGGTACCTGCCTCACAGAAACATCTTCCTTCCTTCCTGCTATACTGCATCCTGGCCTTGCTCAGACACCAGATGAGTCAGATGGAGCCGGGATAGACACACAGGACTTTGGGTCCCGCAGCCCAGAATACACCAGTCCCAGGCTAGATTTCCCTGAGGCTCTGGCTAAACTGGCCCAAATCCTTGCAGAGCACTCAGGGCTGAAGCAGAGGGGAAGGGTTCCCCTTCAGAGTGGAAT